CTCCATTGTGGTCGTAAGTTGGACTCCCCGTGTGTGTGTGTGTGTGTGTATACACACACATGCGCATATGCATAAACACATACACACACACATATATGCATATGCACATACATACACATATATATGTACACACACACATATAGAAATGGTGTAGGGTCTCCTGTTGGGCAGGGGGTTGGACTAGATGACCTACCCTTCCAACTCTGATTGTTATTATTTATATATATATACCTGTCTGTGTGTGTGTGTGTGTGTGTGTATGTATATATGTATATACACATATATACACACATACACACACACACATACATACATATACATACACACATTTTTCAGCTGTATTACGTATACCTCTTTAAGTAATAGGACAGGTATCAAATATCCACACCTGCACACGCCCCTCTCGCTCACCTGCAGGTATTATTTACTCCCTCTCCGTGAGGGGGGTCTCCTCCTTCCCCCTCCGCCCCCAGTCAGGATCGGGACCCTCCTCTGAGGGAGAGGGGGACTAAACCCACTTTATGCGCCCCCTCCCCTCCCCGACCCCTCCCCGCCTCAGCCTTCGCAGCTGCTCCGCCTTCTTCATGGCGGGGAACCGGTGGCCGCCCCCCCTCCCCCGTCAAGCACCCCCCCTCCTCTTTTCGCGCGGCCACGGCCGACCGAGGCAACAAGTGGACCGCGAGAGAGCGGGAGCGCGCAAGCCCCTCCCCACGTTACCTGACGGGCCGGCCGTGCGCGTCCCCGCGCCTTTGGAACCGCCGCCGCGCTCTCCTGAGGGGAGGGGAGGGGAAGAAAAAAAAAAACACGTCGGCGCGCGCACGCACGCTCCCCGGTGCGGCCGTTGGGTTTCGAAAGTGGCTCGCGCTGCGAGGGGAGGGCCACGCCCACCGGCCTCAGCCACGCCTACCCCGCTTGGCGAAGCGAGCGGCTGCCGGGGGATGTTGGCACTGGGGATGATGGGCGTAGTAGTCCGCGAAGGAGGCGGGATACGCCCTTCTGGGGCTGTAGCGACAGCTGGGGTTGGTGTCACAAGCCAGGATCATCCTGTGAAGACTACCAGGATCCCAGGGCAGCTTAGCACCACCTATCCTGGTTAGCGAGAAGCCACGATGCCCTTTGCATAACCTGGACCCTTCCACCGTCTTCATAAAGCCGAATAGGTGCGATCTTGGTTTGTACTCTGTGCGAAGCCCTCACTTGGCTGAGTTTGGGAGAGGATCCTATCCATCCGCCAGTGTTTCTCAACTTGAGCATGGACTTCAACTCCCAGAAGTCCCCAGCTGGGGAACCAGTGGCTGCCCTCAGAATTCCCAGCTGAGGAATTCTGGGAGTTGAAGTCCATGCCCCTTCTGGTTGCTCAGGTTGAGAAACACTGCTGATAGGACCCTCTCCCAAACTCAGCCAAATGATGGCTTCACACAGAGTACAAACCAAGATTCCCCAGCTGGGGATTTCTGGGAGTTGAAGTCCATGCATCTTCTGGTCGCTCCGGTGGACAAACATCACCTTAAGAAGTCCAGACCTCTTCCAGTTGCTCAGGGTGAACAAACGTCACCTTAAGCCATGATTTATGACTCACAGTGGCCGCTCTACATTTTACACTCAGCACCATCCATGATTTGGTTCAATTCACTTATAACTCCATAATTCACTTAACAACTGCAGTGATTCACTGAACTGTGGCCAAAAAAAGTCATAAAATCAGGTGGAGTCACTTAACCTCACTTAGCGAAGGGAATTTGGGTCCCAATTGTCATAAGTTGAGGACTACCTGTATCATTGTGCCAACTTCCTCCTAGGAGGTTTTTAGCACAGGCCATTTTAACTAAGGAATAACTCTGATTAACGGATTCAAATAAAAAACAGCATTTAGTTTACAGATAGTTTGAATTCTCACAATGGGCGAGTTCGAAGCCTGTGGGTTTTTTTTTTCTCTTTAAACAAACAGCAGAGAGATGTCAGCCTTTTGAGATTTACCAGAATTTTGCTGTGCTCAGTTTTGAAAGAAACACAAGTTATAACCTCTCCAGATACCAGTACCTCTATTTATCATCCTTTGGCAGTTCAGGTGATTCTGTCACTGGGAATTTCTTCTGGAGATTGCATATACTGATAATGTAAGGGCCTGACTTTCTATTTTTGTTTTTCCACTGAAAACTCTTGGTTTTTTTTACAAGAAAATTCAGCCTATTTTATCATTATCATCTGGGTTTGCATTTATGCATGGTTTAAAATCTTTGCAAAATGCAAAGCAAGAAAAATAGGTCCATGCTGGAAAAGGGAAACAAGTAAAGGAATTTTCTAAAACACATAGCAACACCTCAGGGCCTCAACACATAAGAATTTATTGGTGTTTTAAATGCTTAGAAGTCTCTTGCATTTAAAAATATTGCTACCTTCTGAATGTCTAGCTTGAAATGCAGAAGCCAAAATCTCTCCCCTCCATCTCTGAGACACAGTTTATGCAGATGCAATTATTTTATCACAAAATGTAAAGCTGTATTAAGAAACCAAATGGCAACGTTCAAAATATCGTAAAAACAAAGCGAGAATTAAAACCAAGAGCAGTTAGTGAAAGCATAACCAATGAACACCGAAACTCATAAAGACTCTGAAAAAAGAGCTATCTTCGTTAATAATCCATTTGAAACTTCTTATCAAAACCTGTTCTCAAATTATGTTTATATACAACACTGCTCTTAATTCATCATAAATCAAAGTACTACAAAACATACTTTGGTGTTTAGATTTGATACACACCATGAATTTTAAGACAGAGATGAATTCCCTGCCTTTTGCTCCTGTGGCTATCTAGTATCACATATAAAAATAAATTCAATCTACTGTTAATTTAATAAAAACTATCCATTTTAACAATGTTTGCAGAATAAAAGAGCTTTCACTCTGTTCAATGTGGGTCATTCAAGCTACATATCAGCTTGACCAGCACATTGCCATTTTGTTATTTAAACTTAACCGGAAAAGCGTTAGTTTCAGGATCGGCAGCAATAAATATTATTGAAGGGTTTTGGTTTTTTTTTGCAGTGTTCACATATGCAAGGAGGATATGAATTTTAGCCTCTTCCAGCTTAAAATGTCTCTCTTTATTGAAGTGCCTGTTTTCTGGGGAACAAATGGAAAGATTTCCATTTTTAATTAATTAAGGCATTATTAATCAAGGCACACTGAGGCATTTAGGACTCAGAATAGCTCCATCCTGTTGATTCAAGGTGCAGAAGTAGCTGGTCACAGTAGATTGGAGTGCGATGTTTGTGTACAACTCCTTCGATTTCCTTCGCCAAGAGGTCTGGATAGAGAACGCCCCCTTCTTTCAAAGTATCTACAAAACAGAAGTTGCTGGAGTTATGAAAATGGCTTGGGGTTCAGGGCATATAATTTATCAAAAACAATTTCGGAACACCAATGAGCTGTAATTATCAATTATAACTTGGTCCTCAACACCAGTAAGACCAATGAGTTTATAGTGGACTATAGAAGGAACAGATCAGACATCCAGCCTTTGCTTATCAATGGAGACCGAGTGGAGCAAGTAGCCAGTTTTAAGTTTCTGGGTGTTACCCTAAAAGAGGACCTGACCTGGGGTGCTCATATTGCAGTACTGGTCGAAAGGGCCCAGTAGAGATTATACTACCTTAGACTTCTCAGGAAACAACAACGGAATGAAAAACTGCTGGTGACCTTCTACCGCTGCACCATAGAGAGTATCTTAACTTACTGCACCTCTGTCTGGTTTGCCAATTGCACAGGGACAGATAGGACAGCACTCCAGAGGGTTAACGTCATTGCCCAGAGGATCATTGGCTGCCTTCTCCCCTCTTTGGAAGAGCTTTAAAGCTCCTGCTGCCTTAAGAAAGTTCAAAACATTCTCAAAGATCCATCTCATCCTGGGCACCCCTTTTTTTGAACTATTACCATCTGGCAGACGGTACAGAATAATAATAAAAACAAGGACAAATAGGCTGAAAAACAGCTTTTATCCCAGGGCAGTAGCTCTGTTGAATTCTACTGTATAGTGCAATATGAATGCGGTGTCAGGGGTTTTCAATTCAATGTGTGGTGTGTGAAGGATATGTGTTTGTGTTTATTTTCATGGTCATGATGTGTACTGAAGATGGTGTTTGATTTCACTGTACAAGGTGCAATGACAATAAAGTAAACTAAACTATTTCCCGAGGGCATGCCACTAGGAAGTTGGAAGCAATTATCAAGCAACGTCAAAGTAATTAGCGAAATTTTATTTTTTTTAAATCTCAGGGAAATCAGAGCTTACTGAACGGCATAATTACCTAAAACAGCCAATTGGATATTTTGGTCAGGGTCATCCAGGTGAACTAACAACTCTTGGTAGAGGACCTTGATGTTGGTTTTCAGAAGGGCTTTTGTCTCCGGGTCATTTATACATCTGAACCAACTGGTTAAGGCATCAGCAGCTGCCAAACGGACATCGTGCGAGACGTCATCCAAGCGCTTCAAGATTTCTGAAAAAGAAACTGTGGGGTCATTTCCCGGACTTCGTGAATATGACAGTTTACCTCAGCTTTAATTCTTTCATTTTCTACAACTGCCTAACTTTAAAAAAAACACAGAAAAAAGGTTATGCCAATGACCATCATTCTTAGTTTAAAAGCTTTGACAGAATGATTTTCTGTTACATGATACATCTTTGCGTATGAATTAGTCACTGTTTTTTCTCATACGTTGCTTTATATGTAGGAAATTAAACCAAGACACTCTTGAGTTACCACATGCTACTGTGAATATTGCAAGAAAAATTATTTGATATGTTTGGCTATGATAACAATGTTGTCTCCATTTAGTCCTCCCTGTATTTTGTTGTTACTTTGTCCACAATTTAGCAGACCAGAAAAAGAAAAAAAGAAAGGGGGGGGGGAGAGAGGAGGAATGTATCTAGAAACTGGACTGTAAATCTGCGTGTTCAAAGTTGTCAAGTTTGAAAAAACACTCTTACTAAACAGCCAGGTTCTCATTCTAGGGAAAGGTAAAAAGACTGAGCCAACCCTGCCGTTTATCCCTCTAAAATACCTGGATAAATTTTGCTGAGTTCAGGCTGCTTTCTGCAGTTGTCTAAAAAAGTCCTGATAATTTGGCAAGATATCAAACGGGTCATTTTGGAATCTTCCTCCAGCGTCACAATGATCTGAGGCATCAGGGCATCTCTGACATTTTGCAACTGTGAAAGCAAGAAATCACTAGATTTAGGAAAAAAAGACCTTCATTAAGTAACTTGCATTTGATGTTTGAATCATTATCTCAAGCCAGATCTGTTATAGAGAGAACACCACAAATCCAGCTGAAAAGTAAGAATGGGGGCAAGGTTAATCAAGCAGGTAATTTTTTTAAAAAAAGCAAGCATCCTTTTAGCAGCCATCTATCTGTGATTTTATTTCTGAATTATGTATTTTTGTTTATGGGCAAGATGTGGCAGCATATAGTATAATTTTATAGGTTCCTCCTTGTTTGAAACAACATTCAGCTAAAAGTTCCTTGTTTTTCACTGGCAGGAAGAGACTTGCAGAGGATACAGGAAACAAAGGGGAGAAGCATGCAAATTAGCTAGCTTGTTCTTCATCTTTAATTGGAATTTTATTGGACTGGGTGTCCCTGCTGCTCCCCCCCCCCCCGCCCTTCCACTTTGTTTAATAGCTGTAGAAAGTTCAACTGTGAAATGACAACACAAGGTCAGAAGCACCGCACAGCCCCAAGAGAGGGGCTTGCAATTATATTTCTCAGATTGCATCAGTCACCTGCTGCAGAGATGACGACTTTGAAGCGGAGAGTTTTAAGAACAGCGCATAATATAGTGCTGGAAGGTAAGACAAAAATAAAATCTCCCACTAACAATATTGGAATACATAACTGAATAAACACAGGCAAGACCTTTGCCTAAAGTAACTCTCTCGGCATCCAAGGCACTCCTCACGGTCCAGAATTTTCTGGTTTTCTCAAGAGCTGCCCTTCCCGCATCCTGAGATCCAAACCACACTCATTTCTGCAGATGGTGCGTTATTTTGTACGCAAACAAAGCTGATTTAATAAGAATCTTATCCACTGCCCGTTGGGACAGGTTTGGAAAGGGTGACAAATTGGTTCAAGTTAGCATTTCGTTCTTACTCCAGGAGATGGTGCTCCTGTCCAAATTTCTGTGCAACGTCCCACCTCAATCTTGCCTTGCCTACATGAGCAATCAAACGTAGACTTGCCGGTTTTCCCCCCCTCTCTCTTGCCTCCTCTGCCCATCTATATTCGGCCTGCTTTGTGTTCAAATTGATTCAAAGTTCCGAGTAAGAAATCGAAAATTTGTACTAATGGAAAAACCTGAAAGCTGTGCTGCGTACCTCGTGGGGATTCTGAGCCTAAATCTTCCAATGATTTAGTCTGACAGTTAAGTCGATATTACTGTCTTGGCTGTAAGCAGCCACCATATCCAAATCTCAACAGCATCACTACGTTCTTCAACAACAGACCACCCAAATCATGAAGGAGAAATTCCCCCTCCACGTGCTTTCTACTGGAGTTGGAGGAAACCATTTCTATAATAGCTACAGGATTTGCAAACCTGCTGTAGTCTCTCTTGGGACTAGGTTTGCAAAAGTACATGAAGGGTTGCCGCAAGGAAAAGTGGATCAACTTATTTACCAAAGCATCCATAGATAGGATAAACGGAAAGCAACGGATGGAAACTAACCAAGGAGAGAAGCAAACTAGTCCTAAGAAGAAAGTTCCTAATGATGAGAACAATTAATCAGTGGAACAAACTGCCTTCGGAAATCGGAACTGGAAGCTTTTAAGAAGAGCCATTAAAACAATAATCAAAAATTGATTTGAAGGGAAAATTGGTTTCCCTTCAGACATGCAAGTACTACCTTAAGAACCTCTTAAAGCCAATGTTTTTCAAACTTGGCAATATTTAGGATGCAAGGATTCCAAATTCCAGAATTTGCTGGCTGGAGGATTCTGGGAGTTGAAAGTCCACACCTCTTCAAGTTGCCCGGTGGGAAAGTCACTGCCTTAATCAAGCAGGATCTTTTTTTTATTTTCTGGGATTTAGAACCATGAGGATGGATGGGAAGATGGCACGTACCCCTTCTGAAAAACCCCAGGTGTTTGGAGACTGGGACCCAGCCTTAGATTGATTGATTTGAAGATCAATGTCCCTGATTAAGTCTACTTCGGGCCTGGCCTTTTCAAAGCCTAATGGGCAGAACTCTCCCGTAAGAATCCTAGAGGTCAAAGCTTGCCGTGGATTTTTGAAAGCCAGGTTGACTTTACGTTTGAACCAGGCCCCCTCAAGACCTTGTCCTGCTGCAAATCACATTTTTGTCCTTTTGAATCAGGATCTCTCAGCGGTCCAGGTCTGTTTGGTCTCTCCTGTGTTAAAAGACTGTTTTCAGCTGTTTCGTGTCTTTGAAAATACTGAATGTTTCAGAGGGTTTAATTGGACAAGATGTGTATCAGTCAGCCTAATGGTCCGGACTCATTTCGCCAGACGTTGAAAAGCGAGAGCAGGTTGACTTCTCACTGAACAATGGGATAGAACCAGCCCGAGCCTTTGAAGTCAAAAGGAGATTAGAAGCTTGCATTTCCCCCCTCCCAAACAAAAAAATGCTCAAGTTTCAAACAACCCCCAACCCCCCCCCCCAGCCCAACACATCTGAGGGTTTCAAACTTGGGGGTGGAGGGGAGTTAAGACACCATTCTTTCCTTGTTGGCTCACCGCTGACTCCTTTTCACCTCTAGCGTAACTTTTATTTTTGGGCAGAATCCCAGGCTAACCTATCCTTCCCAAGCACTTGTTTGGCAAGGGTTTAAAAACTATTTTAATTTAATTTTGTAAGCTCACATGTTCCCCAGCTTATTATAGATTCCAGAAGGCTTATAGTCAACCCCCTAAAGAAAATACGAATTAAAAGCAGTAACAATAACCTCAAACCTCATCTCAACCCTGGAAGAGCCAACCCGCTGTTTGGCACCTGCTTTAAATGCCACCCTCTGCACTGAAAAAGGCTCCTTGGAAGAGCATGGTTTTAATGCTGCTCTGGAAAAACAGGAGGAAAAGGCACAGGGAGGGAATGGCTGACCAGACTCAGCTATAAAGCTTGCTTCTGTCCCTCTCTCTTCCTTCATAGCCTGAAGTAAGGGGCTTTTGGGGCAGTTGTTCTCGGCTGGGATATTCTAGATCAGGGATGTCCAACCTTGGCAACTTTAAGACCTATGAACTTCAATTTCCAGGATTCTGGCTGGCTAGGGAATTCTGGGAGTTGTCTACAGATCTTAAAAGTTGTCAAAGTTGCTGGCTTGGGAATTCTGAGAGTTGAAGTCCACAAGTCTTAAAATCGCCAAGGTTGCTGGCTGGGGAATTCTGGGAGTTGA